GCAAAATTTCACTTAAACAAATCAAAGAGCAGATTATTTTCTTAAAGAGTTTTTATGCCGTATCCGAAGGTCTGATTTCTCTTTTGTGCAGGGAAAGATTTGGGTTTTCTAGTATCATATCAAATTCTAAGAACGATATTGAGGAAATACTAATATACGGGGCCTGCGTGAGATCTACTATTGCGATATTTAATGCATGAAACTAGACTTGATTTCCACACAAAGCGTCTAGTTTCTCTTGCGTTGATTTAAAACATGACATTAAAAATCTACCGCCAGATGGCACCAAAGTCGAATTCTTACGCAAATAAAAATATTTGTAGTTACAGCCAATATAGTGCACATATTCTAAATTGCTAATTTTACAAAATTATTAATAATGAATACGCGGCAGCCGAGTGGTTACCGTTGCATACTGACATTTGGAAGACTCGGGCTCATATCCCGGTGCCGCCAACTTCCAAAAGTTAAGGAGAATTAATTTAAAATAAAGCGAAATTTTCTAATTGCGGTCACGCACTCGGCAGGGAAAGACCACCCCTCCGAGTATATTTCGGACATGAAATAAAGGCGCCTCGTAAAAAACCATCAGCCCTTCCAGAGGCGGCTTAGTATAAGATGTAGGTCTCTTCATTTGTTGGAAAAACATCGAGGCGCAAAGCCACAAATCGAAAGAAAAATTGCTGCAGCGGTTCCAAAGCGCCAATTATGTATGTATTAATAATAAGTTATCTCTTTAGTTGCAGCACGAATTAAATTTTGAAAACATCGCTGTGATGCAGCGTGCAATTGAAATATCTACTGATGAGTAAGAAGAGACCTCAAAATTGTTGGTGTACTTGCTAATCAGTAAATCAATTTCAGTAATCAACTATTCTTTCTTAAGCCTATTGATACTGTTACTAAGTCGTTAGTTGTCTTATAAATATTTTAAATCAATTTTATAATGATTTTTTCCATGTTCAATGGTGATATTTCCAATTGGCGCCATTAGAAAATTTATTATTTAAATTAATTGAATATAATCTTTGATATTATTGTAGTATGGTTGGGATGAAACCAAGAACGCATCGCTAACTACTCCCCTACGGGGGCCATCTCAGCTCGTGCATTTCCCTTGTAGCAATACAATAAATTAGACAAATGAGGGTTTTAATTTAACAAATTTGCTTACTAATGCCACTCGGAGCTCTCATGAATTTATACCAATACCATTTCTAGACGCTTAATTTAAAATTTTATATAAAAATTTAAAAAGTTGAATATTTTAAATTACTTACATTTACCAGATAAGTGGCTTCAAGGTCAAGTATCTGTATTTATAAGCACTTCACATCCAAATTGATATATACCAGGTTGATTATTTCCTATTGGTTTATGCATTTTTCATAACAAAATTAAATTTCTACTTCGAAAAGTTGTTAAATCAATTTATAATGATTTTTTCATAATATGACTAGTTCTATCGGCACCACAGTGCGTATACGTAACCAAAATAGACTAACTTGAGAACCTAAATAAATTAAAAAAAAATGTAAATGTTTTTGCTGTTGTTCTAGTTTTTTTACTCTTTAAATATTTTCAAAAGCACTTTATGCGGTTGTAGCATCAAATTCAAGTGCTCAAAATTTTACTGTTAAAAATTAAAGCAAAAAATTGTGTTCGATCATTCAGTAATAACCGTGAAATCAAACGCTTTTAATGGCATAATAATAATTTAAGTATTAATACTTTCCATAATTCATAATGCCTTTTCCATTCGTATAGATAAACACCCATGTACGTACATTCATATATGCCACTCATATCAAAACCGCTAGACGGAAACTTCAAAGCTACAGGCGGACAGCTTGCAGGAATAAAAAATTAAATGAAATATAAAAACAATTTGGCAAATTTCATCACACACCAAGTAATTCATTCAACTTTACACTCCTCAGCGCATGTGTTGATAAATATGTATAAAATTTAAATAAATAAATTTGCATTAAATTGATTATTAATGTTTATAGGGAAATATTTTCATTGGTATTTGCAAAATCATACTGGAAATTGCTATTGCTACATGAAATACATACAGAAAGATGAATGCAAACATACGCACAAACACACATATATGCATTTACAAATATATATAATATATAAAGTTTTGCTTTAAATTTTTAACACCTCAATTTTGTGAGGTGTGAACATTAATCTATAATTGATGTGTTTTATCTTTTCTTTCACCGCAAAAAAATGCGCTGCGTTTACTTTCGCTGCTGATGCTGGCGAATTTTCAGTTTTATTATTATTATTTTTTTTTATGTGATTTTGTTCTTGAAATTTCAAAGTGTTTGATGGGAAAACGAAAGTAATTGTTTATGGCGTTCAGCTGTTTTTTGTTCTATATTATTATTTCTGTTTTCATTTACTTTAATTTAGTTTAATTTTATTTAATTTAAATTAAGTTAACTTCATTTAATTTAATTTAATTTAATTTTATTTTATTTTATTTTATTTTATTTTATTTTATTTTATTTTATTTTATTTTATTTTATTTTATTTTATTTTATTTTATTTTATTTTATTTTATTTTATTTTATTTTATTTGAGTTTATTTGGTTTTGTTTTATTTTATTTCACAGTGAGTGCCGCTTCATTTGTGTTTAGATAATTATTAAAAAATAGCCTAATAATTAATTGCAGGAATCACTGCCTGTGCATGAGTAAAAAAATTACGCACATGCACACTCATACGCATGTAAAAATATATTTGGCAACAGTTTTGTGGCCGTTTTGGTATATTTTTGTATCATTACTTTCACCATTGTGCTATTTTCTTTTGTTCCTTTTTTATTATTGTATTTTTGCCAAATGGTTTTTTTTTTTGCTATTTCGCTTTGTGTTTGCCTTTCTTCTTACTACCGGCGTTTTTCGTTTATTTTCTAAGCATAAAATTGCGTCTGTTTGAGTTTTGCTTTGTTCGTTTTTTGTTTTATTATATGTATGTAGTTTTGTGGACGCCTGTTGTTTTTTCGTTGCACACAACTTCACAACTCTATTTGGCATGTAATTTCGCATGCCTTTTATTTGTTGTTGTATTTGTTTTTGGTAAGTTGCATCGATTTTTCGCCCATTGGTTCTGTTTTTCTGGCATTTGTGTCATTTGTGGCTGTTGTTTTTTTGTTTTTCTACCTGTTTTTATTACATTTTCCACCTATTGTTCTCCCCCACTCTTTTCGTTTTTTTTAATTATTTCGGATTTTTTTTTGCGATGTTTTTCTATATTTTTTTTCTCTTTTTTCAAAGCAATGTGCGGCATGTATACTTAAAACTTCAATAATCTGCATTATAATTATGTGTGAGTGTGTGCGTGTGTGTACATGAAAGGATAATAACATCCACAGCTAGACATATATTTTTCCCTTCCTTTCTTCCTTCCCTTTTTCAATAGTTTGAACAATTTTTAGTTTTCGCCTACAGCATAACCGGAGCACAGCTGTTGACACATGCACGCACACGGCACACACATTCATACAAACATACACATGTACACACATATTTATATATATGTATAAAAATACACAATACACAAATCGTTGCTTCAGGCTTTTCAAAGCTATCTCACACTGGTTGCTTACTCGGTTGATGCGGTTGATTGAGCTGAGCTTGGTTGGCTGGTTCGACCTGCTGGTGGATTTGCTGGTTGAAAAAATAGTTAATTTTGTTGGTAGTCAAGTGACTGGTCAGCTACACACTGTACGGCTAGTGTACTCCCACATCGACAAGCTTTAATGCGACAGCTTTAACAACTTTCAACGTACAACATGGCGTATGAGCAACCTCAAATAACAAAAGGGTCGAACTCACGTGTCACCACATAGTACCTTATACTACACTACGCTACACTACACAACACTATGCACTACACGCCCATTACCAGTGTGTGAGTGTGTGTGCGTGTTTGTATGTATGTATGTACATAATTTGCGGTGTTTTTCAACAACTAATCTATATATAAGCATATATTATGTATGCATGTAACCCTTATGTACGTGTATATGTGTATGTATGCCTGTATATACATATTATAGTTATTTGTAGCCTTTTTGTATGACCACCCGCTGCCAAACGCACACATATGTACATACACATCTACATGCTATTAATTGTGTCAAACTTTACCTTCACTATGGCAAAGGCCCACTTTTCGGTGACATACAAACACAAATATACATATACATGAATTTTTCACCTACAAAAGTAAATAAGTATATACATATGTACATATGTTTGTGTATGTATATATTTGTAGGTATTTTTAAGCAGCATTTGACGTTATTTTCTTCATTTAACTGCTTTCAATTTTCAATTTTCTTTAAATTTTTATTACATATATACCGCTGTATAGACATTTTGTACACTGCAAGTGCTCTAAGCTTTATTAAAAACACGAGTGAGTGGAGCAACAACTGCAACAACAACAAGTAGCTGTGTAGAACACGCAAGCATATTTGGAAAATTGGCTTTTTTTGGCTTTAGCCTTTTCACATTTAGCTATAATCCTTAGAAGTAGAAGCGCAAACACACACGCACGCGCCACCTATGCATGTACATATGTACATACACATTTGTGTGGCAACTTTTCACTTTTAATCGGTTTCCTTTTTCTATATGCCGCACCTACACCGCCTACACCGCCTGCCACATTTGCCCCTTTTTTCACATGGCGCTGCGGTAACATTTTATGCTGCCTCAAATTAATTGACTATTTGGGCTATAAAAAAACCATGCACACACGCACAAACACACACACAAGGGTACAAATACACGCACTCATACATGTACATTTATTGGCATTGCTATTTATTATTATGTGATTTTTTTTTTTTTGTTTTTGGTTTTCTCAGCGCAAATTTTGCTTCAGAAAGAAATTTTCTGCCTGTCAGCAGTGAGTTGAGTCCTTTCAATCGTATGACTTTACATTAATACAGCAAATAATTGTTGGTTAGCCTCACCTACATATGTTTGTGGCACCACTAGTGAAGTCGCGTATTCCTGTCCGCTATTTCAACTGTTTGCCTTGCTCCAATTGCTCCAAGCTATTTGCTCGCCACTACACACGCTTGTTTTAAGCAACTTGCACAGAGAACTCTTTTTCACAAAATTACTAAAAATTCACTTTCTCACGCTGCTTTTCTGCACTTTTCAACGCTCGGGTGTAATTTCGCTTGGCCTTTTATTGGTTAAATTTTAATTTTTCAGCTTTTCTACGTTTTTTTTTTACAACTTTTTTCACTTGTGTGTACAATGCAATGCTGTTGCTGCTGTTAATTTGCTTTTTTCCAACGCCTGCCGCAACCACTTCCCAAGTAAAGGAAGCATACACACACGCGCATACACACGGCTAATTATATGAATATTTTTTTCACTCCTTCACTGCACGGAAACACAATTAGAAATCAACTTTTAATATTTTTTAATTTTATTTTTAATTTTCTATGCTATTAAATTTGCTTTAAATTTTCCATAATTTTTTTACTCTTTGTTGAGCTCTATGTGTTTTCACTCTGCCGTTATTGCTTTGCCGTTTACTTATTATACGTTTCACCAGTCCGAAATTCTTTCACTAACTGACTTAACCGTTAAACTCATTGCCAAAACAACACCTTTACTGCTCTTTTCCTTCTTCTTCTTCCTCTTCTGCTCCTTATGTGGTCTCTGCTTCTTCCTCTTTGTACATAGTGGTGCCAGTGCCAATGCAGCAACAGCAGCAGTCATCGCTGTCGCGTTGACGGATATAAACAATTTCATAGTGGCGATGTTTACTTTATCATTTTGGTGTTGTCGTCATCGCCATTTGGGCTGTTAGCGTCCTCTAGCGGGTGCTAATATTATGTATTTTTCCAGCTATAGATGGCGCTCAGTGTAGTTTTTTATATTTGATTTATGTGTTGGTATGATTTAAATGTGATATTAATTTGAAAAAGTTTACAGTTTTGTTTTTGTAAAAAAATCGAAGGAAATTTTTGGAAAAAAATGAAAATAAATATAAAAAAATTTAAAAAAATTAGAAAATCAAAAAAACTGTTTTCCACAACATTAATGAGACATTCAAGAAAGCTTTTCTAGAAAAAGAACATAAAAATCACATAGTGAAACCTTCTCCCCTGGTCTTACGAATGAAGTGGCGTTCTTCCTCCTTCTCTGCTTCAGGAGAAACGGAAAATGTCAAAATATGTTCATTTAATACACGAAATACAATACTAAAAAAAATATAGGAGTGACTACACCTCCACCAGTTTTTGCTTTGACAATTCCTATTCCACAAGAGTCCCAAAAAGCAGTGAATGGGAAAAAATAAATATTCAAGATCAGCCAGCTGTGGACTACACTCTCCGATGTCGGTAGCCACAGAAATGACTGCTCAAATAGACGTTCAGACGTCGATCAATAACTACATACTCTTCCACCAGATCACTATCATTCAATATGCAAACTCTCAAAAAAAAAAAATTACCCGCTCGCACTGTATGATCGTGATTTGGGTACCCAGATATAGGAAAGTTACTAGCAAATGCGCGGCGAACAAGCTGGAGAGACAACAATCTTTATTATAAAAATCAGTTTCAGCAGTGACAGAAGACTCAAAATGTAACGTTTCTAGGCAACTCTGGTCGATGTAAGACGCTGAAGGGCCCGAACATTCTATGTATTCTTTTGGTCCAATTCTCTGCCCTCATATATACGGTTCAGCACTGTTTAGTTAAGGCTTCAGCTGCAGGAAGGTAGAGAAGAGAGGGTCTTTCGAAAACCACCTCCACCCACAATCGTTTCTTGGTAAACACTATCATGAATTTCTCGCTAAACTGGCATCAGCTACCATTTCCGGATTGTATATCAGACAAACCAAACGATGCGGGTATTTCAATATCACCTTCTCAACCTTTTCGTGGCATCACAATGGGCAACTACATCAACTCAACTCAATTGATCTCCTGAAATATCACCAATCGAAGCTTAAAATATATTTATAAATACTTTCTAGGTTTCTAAGATTTATGTAAAAAAAATTGTTGCATAGTTTCAGGCGCACTCACGTTAAAAGTTTTGAATATACAGTCACAGTTTTTGAATGATGTAAAATTTTCACGCAAGGGGCATGTTTTTTATTTGTTGTTGTTGTTGTTGGAGTAAAGGCAAAAATATTCCCCAAATTGGCTATTCGGGAATATTACGACAGTGACAGACCTTGGCAGTATAAAAGTCTGGGTCGTTCCGGTATAAAGACGCTTGTGGGAACTATTGGATTTAAGTTGCCTCTTACGACAGACTGGCTTTACCGCGCGTAGCCTAGCCCACAGGTAACGAGCCCAGTATAACAGGTCGATTATGACAAAATTAAAGGTTGCCAGGAAAAATGTTGCCTAAATCTATTTCATGTTGAATTTCACACTCTTTTACGTGCATTTTATGTGGAATGCGGGTTGTGCTTAATTTAAAAGAATAAAGTTTCCGATTTAAAGATTTTCATTTCGTTATAAGAGCTTCTTTATAAGAGCGACTTAAAGAAATGAATTCTAATGTACTTCGTTCCTAACCTACTTCAAACATTTTTGGTATGAAGAAAGTGTATAACCTCAATTTAAAAGACATTTTTTTTTAATTTCATTATTATTCAATTGATATATTTTTGCTATATATAAAGGTTTTGTTTTTTGATATTACTAAATACGACTGTTTGTATGTCTTGAAAATTTTCTATAAATATCTTTTCTTTTATATTCTTTTAATTATATTTGCGCCAATTAAAAAATAATTTTTTGAAATTGCCTTTTTATTTAGTTGAATCATTTTCGTGCACAATACGTATATTCGAACCGACGCCAATATACTATATATGTATATGTATATGCAAAATCAAAGCCTAATAAAATGTTTTGTGAAATTTCAATAGTTTTTTTCGTAATAAATTTTAGTCGAATTTATAAATAGATTCTAAAGCAAAGCACGTTTTTTATGTATGTCATGTGTAATGGGCAGCGTAATTTTCTCATATTTGACTAATTCAATTAATACTAAAAAAAATATTTACTAATTTTAACATGGATGCATAAAGCCACTACGTTAATTTATTAAAAGTAAAAAAAAATAAAGAAAGTATTTTTGTATGAAAATTATGCATAATCTGCTAAAGTGAGTGAATAGAAAAAGATTTATATAATTTGGATTTTTAAGATGGCGATTTGAATTTTGTTGTAATTTGTTTCTCTATGATTTTGCTTGTTGATTGCGTTTCGTTAGCAACTACTACAAATACATATGTAACTTAAAATATAATATCAAATGCGTCTATGATGCTGATGCTAAAATGTCTAATGTTTTGCGTGCGCCACTGGTATATTGTCATGCCATAGTTTACCCCTTTCCAGCGCTTGTAATTTGAGTATTTCATTTTGACTTTCTCTGGCTTGCAGTAAGAAAACGCTTTGCTGTGGTGGTTGGAGGTGGCAGAGAGATATAATTAATGATTAATAAGAATTTAGCAATGTTTTTGAAAAAAAAACTATGGTACCTACCTTTACTTCCTTACTGGTCAGCACATCCATTTTATCATAAATGATGGCATGCAAGCCCAATTCCTTGAGATATTTAATTGTATCTTTGGAGTTATTGTCTTCGCCCCAGCAAAATATGACTAAGCCGCTGCTTTTAGCTAAATTTACCTATTTTATATATAATAAAATGGAACAAATTTATTTAAACGTCTATTTTTATATTCTTTTTTTTTTTTGTTGTACTCTGCACTACCTTCGTTGGATCACGTAGCAAATCTTCAGTATGCGCCACTATGCCCAGTAATTCCATCGAGAGCGAATTATACACCGCCATTTCAATGGTGTTGCCTCTGGGATCTAAATATTTTTGGAATTTCGACGTCTCTCCAATGGTCAGGAACATAACCGGATAGCGATTTTGCTTAAAACGTAACATTGTACAGATATCCGGATCGAAGCATGAGAATACAATGCGTCTATAGCCAGCCTTGCGAAATACCACATTAAGTATGCAATCCACATAGAGATTACGATCGACCGTATGTTCGAATTCCTCCTCCATACTGCCATCTTTAAGACGTTGTGACCATTTAATTTCAATATTGAAACCAACATGCTCATCGATTGCATCAAAAACGTCTGCAAGACGTGGAAATGGTTGATGTTCTAGCAGATCGTCGTTGTGAAAGCAGCGCTCCTCACGCGTACGACCCTCAGCAGTGTGATATACCTGGAGAGTTAACGAAGACACATTACAAACTACAAAACTTTATTGAAAACACACTTCTGCGTTACCTTAAGGTTATTTAATTGATCCAAAGTCAGCTCACGCATTGGTAACTCCAAGAAGTCATTTGGTTGGCAGCTGCCTTTAGCTTTCAACGAGACATAAATCATAAAGTCGTGATAGACAACGGGCACCAAGTCCTTGCTCAGCTGCACATCGAACTCCACCATGTCGGCGCCGTGCTCAACCGCATTCTTCAAGGATGTTATAGTATTTTCGCGTATAACAGAATCTTTGGTTTTGAAACTTGTGCCCGAACCGCGATGTCCCACGTCCAAGCCAGTCCATTTGTTATTCCAATAACGCAGATATGTCACCGCCATATCTAATTTAATACACTTCGTTGGCTTTATTAGCAAATAGCCAATCTGCATCATGCCCATGGGCCGATGGCGCGTCGCACATGTAATGGGCACCTCGAGATTGCCGTCGGAACGCTTAAGTAAGTTTGGCAAGACATAGTGGTAGCCAAGGTGGTATGGCGGTTCATCAAGCGCTGCTTTAGAGCTGTACGAATACAAATCGATGAGGTAGGCAGTGCTATCGAAATCACCGATTGTCAAATGGAAAATTACAACATCGTCAGGACCGCAAGCAGTGCCAAATTGTGGTTGTTGTTTTATTTTCGATTCATCCCCACTCAACACAGCTACTTCGTTGAAAGCAAACGCCGTGCTAAGATCAGTACCATTCTCGCGAGTATCATGAGTATCGTTAGAGAGTGAATCTTCTAGCTGTGAGAAGGTGTGGTAATCGCAGCCACCAGTGCTTCCACCATTGGGTATCGTCAAATTCATTGGCGTTACTTTCACATAAATCAAACGTCGCTTCATGCGTTGTTTCCATGTGAAGGGCGCATTGAAAAATTTCAACTGTACAATTGTCTCGGATGTAACCCAGCCGCGATCCACTTTTTCCACACCATGCACGAAACCATAATCTTCATCGCATTCCCTGGCTTTACGTGACACGCCCGGCATAACGAAACGTGGTTTGCGATGTGTCTCCCAATGACGCACAATGGTCTTTTCTGCTGTAGGATCGACTGCCACCACTAAATAGCGGTATTCGGTGCGCGTGTCACGCGGAATGTTCACATAGGTGTACCAAATGTTTTTGTCTAAAAAATGTAGAATAACGTTGTTAAAGTCCCGCCGTTCGGTGCGGGTACTAATGCCCACTCACCATCTTCCTTCGTCATGATTATGCAGTTGCTAAATTGCCAGTTGCCTAGTTGTTCAGTGCTGCCCACAATCGCCAGACGTTCATTGGGTGCCATATCGCGATTCACTAGCACCCAGAATTTCCAGTTAACATGAACTGGCGTACCCGGTTGGTACACCTCGAGTGATGATGTTGATGAGGGCGGTGCCGCCATGGCGTCACAATCCTCGGCCTCATCAGCGAAAAACCAACGTTGCATTTTTGTTGTTGTTACTTAAGATATTGTCTTCGGAAAATTTAAATTAGAAAGAGGTTTGCAAAATCACACTAACAGACAGTTAAATTTGACGGCCAGTGGAGGGTAATTAAAATATTTACGTCGAAATGTGTAAATCTGGAAAATAATACAGAAAGAAAATACTCAAAATGAATTAAGTGAAAATATAAGCGCGATAGGAAATTCAATACAAAATATGCTCAGAGTAACTATTCTGCGCCCAAAGTAAGCTTGACTGTCAATGAATTGTGATATTATTTATCTAACGCCTAAACGATGGTCTGTTGGTTTGGGTATACGGACGTGTGCACATAAAATGCTAAAATTACTCGGTGCCTCTGTAAGTGCTTATCTCCTGAAGCTATTCTGTTTGCGTATTTATTCTTTAACAATAGAAACCAAACAAAGACAAAGCGAACGTTTTCTTTGCCGATTGAACTAATTTTAAATCTGGTTACTTTGTTTAACAATTGTTTGGACAAATGTCAATTCAACTATTTAATTTGTTTAATTTAATTCACAAATTGTAGGCTTCATTAAAAAAGCTATAACAAACATATGTATGTACGTATGTACTACGTGATTTCAGTAGAAGCACAGCAGATATTATTTTTATACATATTGTAAACACATAAAAATCGCACTGTCAGCTGTAAGCTGTAAAATGAGTTTGTAGTTGTGTAATCAGCTGTTTCTAAACACGTTTTATTATCGCACCTTAAAGATGCCAACTGCCGGGTCAAGGTTATAGACGATATGATGTTTCTATAATCGATCCAAAATACATATAGTTAAATCCAAACATACGCACTTAAAGCAGCAACAACAATAAAATTTCTTACTCACCTGGCAAGAAAAATATATTAAAAATGTTGTGATTTAAAGAAATTGCTTGAAGCTCCTCTATTGTAAGTTTAATAACGTTTTTCGTACAGCCTTGTTCTCCACTGCAGCAAACTTTCTCTTCACTCTTGCAATTAAATGCCTTTGTTCCAGATAATAAATGTACTGCTGTTTAAAACTTACAAGGTTTTATGCGTAATAATGCTTCTTTGGTTGTTTGTTGTTGTTTAAAATTATATATAAAAGCCGTAGTTATGGACGGCTAACCGAGGTAATATGTCATTCCATAGCTTTGGTTATCAGTTGGCCACATTTTTTTAGTAATTTAGGAAAGTGAGGAAAATTAATAAAGGTTATGCGTATGAATATACAAGGATAGGAGAAAATTGGATTAAGGTTGAAATAATTTCCTAATGCTGGTGCAAATCCACGCAAAGTACGTTAGCTAAAGTTGTTATGAAGCGACGCGAGAACTTGTGCGTTGTTGCCTCCGCCGGGCAGTTAACTTGCTAAGAGGTGGCGTAATTTGGATCCATTTCACTGGATTCTGTACAGCGACTTTCACAAACGACTTCTTTGTTGTTGATATGCAGATATTTACAGTTTGTGCTGGGCACAGCCACTCGCAGCGCTGGCTGTTGACCTTTGCACACACAATTTTTTTTAGAAATCTTCCTACGTGTGTATATCTTTCTATATATTGCAAGCCACAGTGGTGCCTTTAGTTAGTTTCTACAATTTATAAATTGCAGAAATTCACCGGGCGTATTAACAAAATAACAAAAACGAAGTAGAGTGAAAATTTTCAACAACTTTACTCAATCAATGGCCGACAGACATGAAAGGGGTTGCTTGAAAGTAAAAAGTGCTACCATTTTTTCTAAAAAAGTAATTGATAAGGCAAAACAAAATGGAATTCATGTGAATAAGATAAAGTTAAAGCTGTGTTTACGTATGCGTAAGTTTATTTATAGAGTTTGTCACCATAATTGAATTAAATTATGGACATAGTGAACACAAAATTATTATTTGATGTGATCCAAATGTTTTATTAGCATTTCTGTGTTTTTTTATGATTTCGGTGCGGGAACCTTTGCAAGTTTTCAATGTTTCTTTGAAAGAATATATAAAGTTTTAAATTCAAAATGATTGGGACAAAGTTTTGTCCCCATAAAAGTAAAGTTTCATAGCTGGTTAATATCAATGTCAACTTCGATAGGTAAAGGACGCCTGTTATGTTACCATGATTTCTCTAGAAAGTAGGTTCAGCGTGCTATATGCCTCCTAAGCCTAAGCATGTAGGTCCCGCGATAGCAGAGGATTTTCCATCTATGTCCGTCCAATATGACATTACTCGACTGTCGGTCCCGCTACTCAAACCGGGAAATCTGCCAACAGAGCAGATTCATTTTGACCGATATCGCTCCAATGCCCATTATCAAGTATCTGACCTTTGGGGGAATTTGAGGGAGTGACAGTCCTTGGTCGGATAAAAATCTGGGTCCGTCCGGTATAAAGACTCGACTGCCGCGGGAAAAATTGGATTTATGCGCCTCTTACGACAAGCATGCCTTAACGTGGGTAAATTCCTCAATTCCTCATTCCTCTCTCTCTGCTCGGAACTTGTCCAAAAAGCCCGATTCCTAGTTTTTCTTTTGATAGCTTCGCTGGCTTCAATTGATTCTTGAATGATTAACAACACAAAAATATTTTTAGTAATATATCTAATTGTTTTACATTTTTAAATGTTAACTCTAAGGCTTTTGAAACTAGAGGGCAGTTATTGAAAATTATCTCAACCTAAATTTAAAGCTCCCTGCTTTAGGAAAAGTTTATGATTAAAATATTTTGTGAACCCATAAGCCTAAAGAAAGTAGTCCCAAATGGTAGATTTCATTACCTATGTTATACTCTCATTTTGTTACCATTTCGTATTCTGAGCTCACTGTTACCATGTAAATTTTGTTACCAGCGAAATAGGAGGTAACATAAATATCTGCTCTTGGAATTTGTGTTGTTAGTTTCAGAAAAAATAAAAACCAAAATGGGTAGGCATATTTTAGGCATGGAATTTATTGAAGATTAAGAAAAAAGTGCAAAAAGCCGTAGTTTAAGAAGAAGACAAGAAATAGCCCTTTAATTTGTAAGATATCGTTTTCATTCAGCGTTTTTTTGTTGTCCAGGCATATTTTCCATAATTAGGTTCAAATCTTTGTGTTTTAATAAACAAATTAATTCAACTTTTTAATTTTTTTGTGCACCGTCTTCCATTTCGATGTGACATTTTTTTCATTTTACTTTATCAACTGGCAAATGTAATTTTGTAACCAGTTCGCCAGAAAACCAAATTCAATTTCGGGTGTTAAAGAATAGTAACAAAATTTACTTTACCCCGGTAACAGTGAGAATAGGCCTGTCTGACACTGATATAAATCCTATTTCAGAATTCAGCCATATTTCTAGAAATCCAGCAGGACCTTGACGTTATTATGCGCGCCCTCTGTTAGTCATTTTAGTTTGTTGATTTCTTTAAAGTTTTGGAAGCACTGAATGTTTCTAATATTTTGGGCGCGAAGTTTGACAATTATGTTTTGTTTACAATTTGCGATTGCAATAAACAATAGCACAAGCATTTGTTGCTAATAACATTTATTTTTTTAAACAATTTGGAGATAGCTAGTAAAAAAATGGATCAATATCCTGATGAAGAAGAGGAGTTTGAGCTTCGATATCAGGAGGAATTGGATATGTTGGAGGAGTTGCCGCCTGATGAAGTTGGTAGGTTTAAATACGCATTGTTGCAAACACTGATTGTTTTTATGTTTTTTTTTTTTATATTTCAGAGCTATTTCCACCTACAGCACCAAATAACTTCAATAACACTGTAAATACAGTAAATGTGATCGATTCCGTTAATTCGCCACATTTATCACAAATCTCTAACGGCGGCGTTAGCACTGTTGGTGGTGTTGTCAATAGGCGCCTTTTTGGCACACCACAGGCACCACACCAACGCATTTCATCAACTCCACTCGCCACCAACAAACAACATGCAGCTCTGGCACCTATAGCAGAGGTAATAGATTTAACACCTCTACCAGAAAGTGAACCATTAGAAGAATTCAATGAACCTGCAGTAGAGCTGCAAGGCATGGGTCTGCGTAACAAAAGACGTCTGGAACGTGATCTCTTTGGTGATATTGATGATTTGTTTCAAAATGAAACATATGAGGATCCGATTGCGAAGAAAGCACGCACTGAAGAGGAACGTGATTTGGATATGATTGAAAAAATATTACAAACACGTCGTCGCATACAAGAAAATAATAAGGCAGTACGAAAGGATGACTTGTCACGTTTGAAGGCGTTGCACGAATTTAAAATGCGTAACTTGTCATACACTGTGCCCCAATGGCCTTTCCAGGTGTTGAGAAGAAGTGATCAAGAACGTATTTTTGTACGTTTCCACTCAGAAGAGTATGAAAATCGTGCTTTGGAGGAAGTGCGTGCATTGCCGCAATATGATGGCCTACTGGGCGAACATAAGCAACGTATTTGGTCAGAAGCGAATGATATTGTAAGAAAATTATTGGAAAACAATATTATTTCATTATTTTTTTAATTTACTAAATTATTATCACAGGTGTTGAAACGTGCAAGTACACCGTCCCAGCAACAGCAGGAGAATGTAGTGGCACAACAGGTCTCAGCTGTTAGCACAACCAATGCTGCGGCAGCAAATGATGAAGAAAATCAAGAAGAAATTTTATGGGTAGAAAAATATAAGCCACGCAAATACATTGATTTGCTCTCAGACGAGGCGACAAATCGTAGCTTGCTCTATTGGCTAAAAATGTGGGACAAAATTGTGTTTGGCAGGTGAGTTGCAAATATAAATACAAGCTGAACCATTTTTTTTAGCTTTTTGTGTTTATATTTTACAGGGAATTCAAAAAGAAAGATGAAAATAATTCAAATAGCAACAACAACAATTTGAACACATTCAACAAACGCACCGGCAAATTTGAATCGAATGGTGGTTGGCGTAAACGAAAATTTCAATCTATGTTGGACACAAATTTAGATGAACATGGTCGCCCTATGCAAAAGGTCGCTTTACTTTGTGGGCCGCCTGGTTTGGGTAAAACGACACTGGCACATACGATAGCTCGACATGCTGGTTATGCAGTGCGTGAAATAAATGCATCAGACGATCGTAGTCCCGAAGCATTCAAACAAGCCTTAGAAAATGGCACACAAATGTCATCGGTATTGAATGAAGATCGGCGTCCAAATTGTATTATATTAGGTGAGTTGGGAGAAGTACACACAAACAAATTGAAAGATACATTCAATGCTCGATATTTATTAAATTATTTTCTTCGATTCATTTCATTTTATAGATGAAATCGATGGCGCACCACGTCAATCAATTGAATTCCTCGTTAAATTCGTAACGGACAATGTGGTGAACAAGTCTAAGGCTAAAGCCAAGGCCAAAGCGGAGCGTAATCTGCTCAAGCGGCCTATCATTTGTATTTGTAATGATATATATGAGCCAGCGTTGCGTCCATTACGCCAAATCGCTTTTGTTGTTACATTTCCGCCCATCGAAACGACGAGGTTGACGGAGAGGTGAATTGCTTCCGTCTAAAAATATAATAATTTATTAATATATTGTTTTTTGCTTCTAGGCTTTTGCAAATAGCGCAAATAGAGCGTTTAAAAACTGATTTCAGTGCCTTGTACGCCATGTCGGAGAAATCGGGTAATGATGTACGTTGCTGCATTTCAACATTACAGTTTTTCAAGTAATTACAACAATAAATCTCCTTATAGTCAACGTCTAGCGGTTATATTTTCTAATTCCAGCGCCCAGAAGAAAGTTTTGACGCTGCAAGATGTGCTCAGTGCGAATTTGGGACAAAAAGACCGACAGCAAGGTCTCTTCGATGTATGGGGCGCAGTGTTTAGGGTAATTTTTTAGAATTTTATTTCTACAAAATAAATAATTTAAAAATATATCCCATCTCAGATACAACGTCCTCGCAAGCAATTGGACAAATCCAAGCTACATGACAATACAGATAATGTTGAGATAACTATGACCGACATGTCGACTACTACACGCGTACGTAATGTTTTGGAAGTTGTGCACGGTGGGGGTGATTATGAACGGTAAGCAAACATTTTTGTAATTGTACAATATCCTTTATCCTTCATTTATTACTTGTTTCTTTTTTCCACAGTCTCACTCAGGGTGTTTTTGAAAATTATCTACACCAGAAAATGCCCGATCCCAATTTGACTGCTGTTGTAGATGCTACAAAATGGTTTAGTTTCACGGATTTGGTGCAACATCAAATAAATCACCTGCAGAACTATTCAGTTTATCCTTATCTACAGTATGGATTCCCTGCATGGCATCTTATGTTTGCGACACTCGCCTGGCCGAAAATCAATTTCCCCACAAAAGGTTTTGAGGTAATTGAATTCAGTTTATCACAGCGGAGGTTGATTTAAACTTCTGGCTCCTAAGTACCTTCAGCAAAAGATAATTCTGTCCTAAAATTGTCACTCTGTTTGTGAAAGCAGAAGAGTCTACTTCCTTAGTAGTATAGCTGTATAGCCGATTGGAAGCGCGGATTAGTGCGACTTTCACTATAGTGGGTTTTACTGAACGAAGCTTATCTGGATTTTTTAACGGCCAAATACTGTTACACTTTCGTTGTTGTTGTTGTTGTTGTAACCGCAAAATAGTCCCCGAATTGGGTTTGGAAGAATAATGCGGGAGTGACAGTCTTTGGCCGGATAAAAATCTGGGTCGTTTCGGTGTAAAGACCCGACTGTCGTGAGAACTATTGGATTTTAGTCGCCTCTTACGACAGGCATTCCTTACGACTCTAAAGACAGTCGGTTCTACGTACCGGAGTCAACCCGGATTTTATCCGGCCAATGGCTGTTACCCGTTCTGCGAATTGCGGAAATCCGTCCAAATTTTCTGTCAGAGGCGACGGTATTAGCACAGAGGCGCGACACCATTCGAAACTCCGATCCCTCGAATCTCCCTATCAGGGATTTAAACGCGGATATTCGCAGAGTAGTTATCAATCATTAGCGGAAAAAAAGCGGGAGAAATTGTTGATCGTGCCTCGTCGGACCAGAAGAGATGCGCGAGCTATTTTAGCCGACTTTTTACATTGCATCCTTCGGTAGACAAAGCGAAGCGTCGTGTAATCCGCTGTATGCGCATACTACCAAATACCTGGCTGGTGCTTGAATTCTCCAGGGAAAAGGTTAAGGGGGTCATCGGGAAGGCGAAATCCTCCGAATCCATCGACCCTGACGGAATAAGCATGCTGATGCTAAAAACAACAAAGGAGAGTCTTATCGGCCGATAACTCTCTTCTCTCCAGTAGTGAAGACTCTTGAGGCCTTCCCGGACCCGACCTTCACATAACATCTGCTTCCAGCAGAACATCAGCATAACTTCCGAAAAGTTCACAGCACCACAACAGCTACATTGAAAATACAGCCGACCAAATCCTCGGCTACCCACTTCACTAGCTGGACGAGGGAATACAGGCTTGAATTAGATGTGAAGGTCGATGACGTAAAAATTTCGACTGTAAATAACCCAAAGATATTGGGAGTGACAATTGCCACAAACTCCAGAGCCGCAACAAAATGCTCAAAGCGCTAGCCGGTAGCACCTGACGTAAAGACAAAGAAACTTTGCTGGCAATTTACAAAGCAATTGGCCGGCCGGTCGTAAACTATGCTGCACCGATCTGGGCGCCGAGGACGAACGAGACGCAGATGAAGAAGCTACAGGCTTGCCAGAACACCGCCCTCAGGACTGCGACAGGAAACCTTCTGATGTCGCCGGAGCATCACTTGCACAGTGAAGCATCTATGCTACGAGTTAATGAGTGTAACCCTTTGCTATGCAAGCAGTTTCTATTGGGATGTTACCGCAGGGAGCAAAACAGCGTACAGTTAGGCACTGAACGCCATTCACCAGGAGTCAGTCAACACCTTCAAAGACCCCCTTCTAGTAAATGGCGTGCTCGGAATAAAAACACCACCCATCGCAGATAACGCGTTCGAGCTGCCTGGAGAGACCCGCGTGACCTTGACTCAACTCAGGTCTGGATACTGTAGCAGGTTAAACTCCTACTTATCCAGACTCGGTTACAGCATATCCAATGTATGCCCTGCATGTGGAGAGTCTCCGCACGACACTAACCACCTCTTCACATGTCCCCCTAAAACCGACTCAGCTAACACCGCTCTTCCTTTGGTCCAATCCCGTCGAAAGAGCTCGTTTTCTGGAACACCCACTAGATGACCTCGGTGACTTAGATTACTGAAAACTGTACCTAAGCAGGGTTAGCGAACCGCTGCAACAACAACAACAACAACAACAGATGCACGAACGACATGCCGTTCGTTTCGGTTGCAACACCCCAGTTTTCAAAATTTTCTATATACTACAAGGCGCTAGAGGATCTCCAGGCTTCTCTTGTTATCTCCAATTGGCACCGAACGACAAAAGGATAAACGAATAATAAACGAGTGGTGCCAATCAATAAGTAGAAGGTTTTGAGGTCCTTAATTTAGTTGCCGGTCTTTTTTTTATACTCCGATTTTTTTACACGCATCCTGTTCTACCTTACAACCTCATTATGTTGACTGAAATCTATACGTTTTCTCCATTTTTTCATTCTCTCTTCGAGTTTGTATGCCTTTTGAATTCATTAACCACTCATACATACACGTATATACGAAAAATGTTGAGTTTTTCATCTCAAATACTCGTTAGCTTGGGCAATCTACTTACCGCCATTCATTGCCTGCTGGACGCTATGAATTATGCAAACTTCATTACGCTTTACTGAGTTGTTTCATTTTGTTTTTATCAAATATTGCCACATTCAAGCAGGTCAGCCTTCTAAAACTACAGCAACAACATTCGTGGGGCTTCATCTTTTTGGCACCAATACACTTAAGACGTCTTTCAATGCAGCCACACTGTGAGTGGAATCATACAATCAGGAAATAAGTAATTTTTATTATATACTCTAAATGCAATCACCAGATTAATAACGGTTTTAAATAGCGAGTTGCATAATGCGGTTGAGTATACGGTTAGCCTTAAGGTAAAAAATAAGCTCACAGCAAAAAAAAAAATAAAATAAAAGAAAATAAATAAAATCAGATATTTCCTATTCAAACTCAAAGGATGTGTGCAAAGTAGCAATTTTTTAAATGAGAGAAAAAGGAAACAAAAAAAAAAACTAATGCGAAAATGAAATGAATAAGTGCAATATCAAGCATTTAACCTTTTTCATCTCTTTTTGCCAACTTTGCGGCAGATGGACATGTTTATCTTACTCACAGACCGTTCGTTGCTGCTGAACAATGCGCTTTAGAAACGCAAAAGTGTTTGAAGCTTATATGAGTTAATTTCATATTCATGCAGTCCATGTGTACACGGGTGTTTAGAAGTGTACAGCTGTGGAGCTCGCACTTGTATATTTCTTCAAAGCGCTTGGCTTTTTACTTATTAGTTGACCAACAAGTAGGCGCTTATAGACGATTATCCAGCCACTCGTTCTCGACGTCTCACTCTCTCTCTCTCTTTCGCTGTAGCTCTTTATGTGTCACATAAGTAAATAAAAAATGTATTTGGCAATTAACAAAATTGCGCTTGGAGTGTAGGCATTTTCTCAAGTTCCTTTTTTTTGCTTCATTTAAAGCTGCTTTAAATTGCACTTTGTGGTCGTTATTAATTTTTCTCTTTTAAACATAGTTTCTTGTTTTTATACGCCATTTTTTGTATTAACCTTTTGAGTTTTATTCTTCTTTATGCCTTCATTCAATGTTTTTTTTTTTGTCGAAATGTGCTCTTTATTTACAGTTCAGACAGAAGCATACGACACAAAGTAATATTTTTCAAGCTCTTCGTAAGGGTATTACAACGGGCATGAATGGTCTTGGACAGGGTCATGTCGTACTTATAGAAACTGTGCCGTTACTTAAGCGTATATTATCGCCACAATTTCGTTCAGTTGCAGTGCAATTACTGTCTCAGAGGTGAGTTTTATTGTAAAGAAGATTAAAGTTGTAAGTGACTTGATTTGATTGTCATTATTATTTTTCTAACTATGTTATTGGCCTTCAAGAAATCTTAAGCTATGAAGTAGTCTAGTTTTCAAGAACATATTTCTTTCACTGTTTATTTGTATGATTTATTTTTTTAGAGAACGTGATGACCTCAATCACACTGTTACTGTTATGGCCGATCTTGGTTTAACCTACACACAGATAAAGGCGGCTGAGGGTTCATACGTTTTTCAAATGGAACCCGATCTGGATGCATTGGCGCAATTTCCAGGTAATTGTTATATTACAGTGTCAATTCTAATCGTTAATTTTTATTTTATTTTATTTTGTTTTTAAGTATATATTTCAGGAATTTTTCGAAATCCCTTTTCTGCATACTTGTCTTCCTATCCATTTATTCTTGTATTTACAGGCTACCCAGGTATCCAGCTGAATTACTTCAGCCGCCAGTTAGTTGCACGTGAAGTCGAACTGGAACGTATAAGACGTTCTACGCCACGCTTAGGTGTTGAAACGAGTACAGGCAAGGCAACTGCTAACAATGCAGCAGCTGCTAAAAAGGATGCCACAAAAAATCTACCAAACCATTTGCAACGTCTAAAAGCGAAGCAAATCGATAATAATAGAAATGCAAATGCGAAGAAAGATGTAAGTAGCTACTGAAAGATAATAATTCACGAATGGGAGAAGTAGTAGTGTATGCACCTGCATTACTTTGGCATTATATTTGGTATGCATAACACAGCATAGTTCACAGTCCACTCAATTTGTATTAGCTACAATGTACAAACGATTCAAAGCATTTGCTCATTAAGTCAAAAATGGTGCTCACCATTTGCATGCCAAATAAGTAAGTGTACGACGTTGATCTGAAATGCATTTTCAATATGCAATGCGCCAACTTGTTGGTAGTTTATGACGAGTTATTTAGATCATGTAAGTAAAATGGTAAATTTTCGCAAAAAATGTGTTTGCATTTCGCCTTATGTCGTAACATTTTTAACACAGTTCAAAGAAGTTTGGGAAGAGAAAGGAATATAAGGCTTGTAGGAATTGAGTTACTCTCTTTATCATTTTTCTTTTAAAGTTGTACTTGTTTTCCTTGATTTTTGCGAAATTCCTCTTACTTAGTTTTTTTTTTAATTTCAGGTTATTTCGAAAGATTTCTTTGGTCGCATACAACATAAAACAGTTGGTGGGCATCGTGATGATTGTAAGTATCAATTTGCTATAAAAAATATTTTTTTGTGATAATATTCATGTAAAAGAAAAACAAAGTCAGAAGTGGAATATTAGTAAAAAAAAAATTTAGCTTTAAGTCAGTTCGGTAGGTTATTATGAGGTTCATTGCTCAAAACTGCAGAATTCAACGAAACTATTTTTAGTCGAGATGAATTATTCATTAATCAGATTTGTGGTGTATTTTGCAAATGTTAATACAAATTTGTAAGTTATTTTAGCCATATAAAATCTGTTCATTATCAAGTAGGCAAAATACTATACAAGTTTATCAAAAAATTCTCTTCAACTTTTTTCTTTTCCTCTTAGTCTAAAAAAAGTTAGTTTAATACGTACGTAGTAACGATTTGAAAATTAAAACCATTAATATAAATGAAAATTGTATTCGTTTCGGCGCGCAATCTTATTATATGCTTGCCGTAGTTTTTCATTTAGATGCGAAAATTCTTCGAAGTAGTAATTTAAAAAAAAAATCTAAGAAATCTAAACTAGTTGCTGCTAAAGCAATGATGACTAGATACGAAACTCTTATTCCGTGAGAGCACTCAAAAATCCGCATTTTTTATAACATTTCTGAACAGTGCCACTGTGATAGAAAAATGACTTCTTTGGATTTTTAGGTATATTTTGGGTATTTTATTACAAACAACGGCGTCTTTAATTGCGATTTCACTAAAATATTTTATTAAGAAACAATTAAATATTTAATTATATGAAGTTTTCATAATAAAATTACAATAATTTCTTTAATATTTACTGCTGAAGCAAATTTCATTTGAAACAAAAATAATGGATTTTTTATTGACATAGTGGCACTGGTGCGTTTTGCACATCAGATGTTGAATGTTCCCCGATCTGACACTGCTGCCGACATTAGAATGTGAAATGGGGGAACGCTCTCAGCTGCAATTTGAGTGATTTTGAGTAAGTTTCGTACCTAGTCATCTTTGGCTAAAGATTCCATCAATAATCATTCAATATTGCAGTGTATATACAGTGATGAACTAAAGTAATAGCAAGAAAAACTTCAACTTCAACTTTAAAACTTTTTTTTTTACTATGAAAATATTTTTAATTCGGGGGGGAAAAATGTTAAACAGAGAAACGCATTTTCAACTTTTTTTTTTACTTCAATTGATTTTATTATCTTTTATGTTAGGTCAAAACTAATTATAAATGAAAAAAATACTAATCTTCACCAAACAGAAGTATTGGCACACTTCATAAAAACACAAAAAAAATATAATTAACGAAATTAATATTTTTTAGCCAAGCCTTTATGTTTGATGACAGCTTCCAAACACTTTTGCATCGATAAGACCAATTTTTGTGTGGTTTCTGCCATTATTCCACTAGCGCCAGCTTCAATTCTTCCTTTGTTGATACAGCGCGCTTTTTAACGCACCTATTCATCTCATCCCACAATTGTTCAATTGGGTTTAGATCAAGCGATTGGCGCGGATGCGGCAGTGTATGTTTAATGTGATGTGGAAGTCACATATGCATATCATGAGCTTCGGATCATTGACGTGCTGAAATGCTTAAGATTTTCGGCACTCTTTTGACATTTCTCTTAATAATTCCATACAGTATTTTTTGTTCATAATGCCGTCAATGAATTTCAGCCCCCCCACACCTGCAGGGGTGCATGTCCACACAATGACTCCTCTGCCACTATGTTTTATAGTCGCAGAAAAGTTATCTTATTGAAGATCAGTGTTAGGTTTTCTCCACACAGTTTGACGGCCATTAGGTTGAAAGATATTGAATTTACATTCATCCGAGAAAAGTCTATTGTCCAAAAAGTCAACTAGCTTGCTTAAGTATTCCTTAAAATAAACTAAACATTACTTTTGAAATTAGTGGTTTGCGTGTAGCTACACGAGAATGAAATATAGCTTCATGCAATGCTCTGCGGACCGTATCCTTTCCCAGCTATTTCTTAACTTCCTCTGCGTTTTGGGTAGAAAATAATCTTGGGTTTCTTTTTTTACCTTACTTACTATTTGGCAGCGTTCGCGGTCATTTAAAGCCTTAGGCCTGCCAGTACGTGTTCAAGTTCAACTATCTTGCTGTGCTAATACTTCAGTTCATCATTGTAAACATTATTATTATTATTTTATTTATTAGTCCTATAACCAAACATTCGACAGTTATTATTATTTTTATGTATTTAGGTAAAACGGATGCTATTGTTAAAAGTCCAATTTGGTATCGCTATAAAGAGGGTTTCAATAATGCTGTGCGCAAGGATATTCATATGAATGAGTTGCTGTAGGGCACTTTGATGGTGTTGAAATGCTGAAAGAATGTAATCTTAAAAGGGTGACAACCTAACTAACGTTATTTTGGTGTTCTTGTGAAATTTTATTATTTTTACCTCTATAAATTATTTAATTGATTTAAGCAAATATTATGTGAATAATAAAAAAGTTATTTTTATGATCCATTTCTTTGTTTTTTATTAATATTAGCTTTTTTGCATCCCTTTGGAGGTTGTTATCTGATAACAGATAGGCTGCGGCCAAGCTTCCATAATTTTTTTTGTTAAAATCTCAGGCTGTTTTTGCTCTCTTTTAATCAAATACTCGCACTCAAAACTTCATACAAACAAACAAGGCCTTAAGCTCACTAAAAACTTATAACAAAAATTAATATTTGATTACACTCTATACAAATCAATTGTGGTTCAGCTGTACAATCTCAATTAGCTCATAATGAGTGTATGTACAAAACATATTTACGAAACGCTTAATAATTTTTCGTTCATTCAACATAATTACTGATAAGCCAACTATATAATGTCAAAGGCTTGAAATACGCCACAGCTTGTTGCTGTCAAGTTCGTTAGCAACATTAATGTATTTAAAATTACATAAAAGTGTCAATATGTTTAATGTACGATTAAATGTAGCCTTGCTACTAAAATTATGTTCTCCGCATATATTCATTGTGTATTTATCAGCTTGAAACACGAGTTGTTGGCCCAAAAATAATCGCCTGTGTCCATGGGAGTTCTACGAGGGCTCATAATTTATTTTATGGTTGAGTTATATCCTTCTCTTGACACGTGTAGGAAGTATTGGCTTTTGTCGGAAATATATTTATTCGGCTACTGGGGTTGAGAAAAAGATATTAACGAATGTATTCTGACTAATTGAGGTAGGCGAAATGAGCATCTTTCTCTAAAAACGATGAGATGAGATTTCTATGTTTCATCGTACGTTCTCTTCATGTCCCCTATACTACTTATCTCCCCAAAAGCCCTGGTTGGTTTTAGCAGGGTGCATTAGATTGATTTTACAATATTTAAAATAACCCTCTTACATTGGCACCTACATTCATTAAGAGCCATTATGTCTCTCCCAAAGAAACCCTTTTCAACTGTTGGCAAAAAATTGGTGCAATTGAAATCGTACAAATATTCTCATATTATAGTATTTTCTGCAACATTTGAGGTATTTCGTTATTCTCCAAATCAGGACTCAGCTTGAAATTGCATTAATTTCTGGTTTGCTGTAGAAAGAAGCCTCAAAGACAAGCTGAGGCATTATGAACATAAACAGAACTGGATTGGCTGAATATTCTTGGAGATTTTCAAGTCAAGAAATCGGAAATTTATGCTAAATTTCCTTAAACTAATAATTCATAATTATCGCTTAGCAACCGCTGAAGCAATTTTCCGCCGAGCTCCTCTACCAAGCCGGCAACGAACGAACGATGGATTTTTATGAGAGGCTTTTATTTCATGTCGAAAATAAACTAGGAGAGCTTGACATTCCCTGAGTTAGAATAACTAATTTTCTAAAATTTTTGCTGCTGGTCGAGCCAGGACTTAGTAGATCGGATATTCCTGCTACAAATTCCTAGAAATATTGACCTCAAGATGTCAATTAAAGAATTATCAAATCAAGCATCATAGCACTAAGCGGGTTTTTTTTAAGAAATCTGCTAAATTTTACTCAGCCCTTCAGAGTGTTTGTCGATCGATATAGGATCGGAACTTTATATAGACACAATCAATGTTTGTGAGGGGGAAAATCGGCTTCTTCATCTCTCACATTGGTTTCCTCTATCTTCCCTCCACTGAATACCAGCTTCTCCGTCTTTAGATTAACTTCCTCAGCTCCCAGACCAACTTTCACTTCTCTGAGGACCGACTTCTTCATCTCTGAAGTTATTAATATCTGAAACATTTATTATCCAAGACATTTCGGGTAGCCCACGTATAAATATCGCGCGATAAACTTGCCCTGTTATTGTTTTTATTTCAATAAACTATTTGTTATAATTACACTTTGTTGTTATTATTAAAAATAGTTTGTTTGTCATCGCCACAGAGAGCATGGCGTTATGTACCCACACTGAACTGAGAAGCTTGGTTGTTTGAAGCGCTGAGTATTCCGCAACGCCGTTACCAAGCCAACGATGATAGTAGAATTGCAGCAGCGTCGGCAGCAGCCACAGCTGATACCGGTCACCAAACGCTGTCTTCGTTACGCTTTGACGAGCGCTACAGTAGCAGAAGCTATTTCAAAGAAACTTGCGACACTTTGCCGCGTCAGCTTGTATTGCTTGTCCCGGGCAACTGTGATAATAGTTAGGACGAGCTGAGTCGAGTCGAGTCGAGTCGCGTCGAGGCGGGTGTTTGAGTACGAGTATTATTGTTTTGATCGTCAGACGTTGCAATGGAATTGCGTCGCTTCGTGTTAGTTTGTATACTACTTTTTGTCACCACAGTGACGGCTAGAACGCGTGGACGGCCAAGTGAGTAGAGTAAAATATACATATTTAGTTTAATTGGGAAAGGCGAGAGTAAGCTTGACATAAAAAATAAATAAAAAAATAGTAAAAACAAAAAAACTTTCACAACTTCCGCTGGCGAGCGCACGCTGAGTCAATATAACTTTTAAGTGCATTTAATTGTTTTTGTTTTTGTATTATTATTCATTAAACACTAACTAATTAACATTTGTTTGTTGGAGAAGCTTTTCAAAGCGTTCGTTTACCTGCAGTTAATCACATTGTTGTTTTTGTCTTTTGTCATTATTTGCTTGTCGATGGATTGTGTTATCAATAAAATTGCTCATTATCTTATTCAATTAATATTATTTTCTATTTAATACATATTTCACACACTTTTCGTTTTGTTAATTTCCACTGGCTCAAAACAACATATGTACATACAGATAAATGCACAAACATACATATGCTTGTATATTTAATAAATCTTTTTTATTTCCTTCTGCTGAGATGATGTCCATTTTGCTTTGCTCTTGCGAAATCAAGTTCAATCACTGCTAATTACCAAAAATAATGCGTGCTCAAAAATTTCCTTGCTTCTCTTTTTTTTCTTCTCTTTCCTCTCTTTCTCCTCTTCTCTACACAGACATTTGCCTGCAGCCGCCGCCAAGGTCGGAAGGTGTTTGTACTATCGAAATTGAAGGTTTCTACTTCGATCCACGTAGCAACGACTGCCAAATGTACGTGTTGGGTGGCTGCCATACCATACCCGGACAGAGTTTTGGCTCGCGACAAGATTGCCTGGACACTTGTTTGCATATGACAAGGCGCTTGCAGGACCTGCGATATAATTAATGCAGAATGGCGGTGCTAAATATGAGATGAGTGAAGGGAAATAATTGATTATGTAAAATTTTGATATCGAATTGAATAAAAATAAAAATTAATTTCGAAAAATACGTATGCACATACATATGTACATGCTTTATATAGATGTGAGTGCACTTCTTTGTAGTTGCCATTTAACGGCTTACCCTAATTCAGCTCGAGAATGACCTACATTATAAATAAAATAAAATATCATTTATTAAATGAAAAAATATAAAATAAAGTATAATAAATAAGTAAGACAACGTTAAATAGAAGGAAAGAAAATTAAAAAGAAAAAAATAAAGAAAAAATTTAAAGAAAAAAATAAACTGAATGAAGTAAAATAAAATTAAATCAAATTAAAATAAAATAAAGTAAAATAACGAAATCTAAGTTAATCGAAATAAAGGAAAATTAAATAAAATAAAAAATATGAACTAAAAGAAAATAAAATTAGGAAAGTAATGAAAAACATGTTATCACATTAAAATAATAAATAAAATGATATAAATAAGACACAAAAAAATTAAAAAACAATACCATAGGATAAAATATAATAAAACAAAATATTATAAAAAATAATAATAAAATAAAACAAATAAAACGTACAATAAAATTAAAAGTAATTTAATAAAAAAAAAATTAAAATAGCTAGCAGATTGATGTAAAAAGGACATAAAATAAAATAAAAAAAATTAAATAAAAAACTAAAAAAACAAAAATCAAATTAGGTAAAATAAAATAAAATATAATAAAATAAAATAAACTAAAACAAAACAAATTAAAATAGAATAAAATAAAACAAATAAGTTAAAATAAAATAACATAAACTAAAATAAAATAAAAAAACTATAATAAAATTTTTATTAAGTAAACTACTTGTTTTTTTTATGAATTGAATATTTGTTATACAACAAAGAAAAATGGTAGAAGCGACAGCTGTTTCGGAGATCACCACATCTCCTCATCAGACTTCTTATGGCAGGGATCGAACCAACGGATCCTGACTTAACAGGCGAGTGTTCTACCACTGCGCCAACATCAGCCATATAATCTGTTGTTGTATTATTCAATTAATTATTAACCAAAAACTATTAAGTGCGCTAATAAAATAAAATGGAATACATAAAAAAGAAATTATTATTACTAAATAAAATAAAAGGAAATGGAAATATGGAAATAAAATAAAAAATAAATTAAAATAAAATTAAATTAAATTAAGTTAAGTTAAGCAGAATAAAATAAAATAAAAAATTAAAACAGAATAAATTTAAATAAAAAATAATTTAGAGCAAAATGAAACAAAATGTAATAAAATAGTAAAAAATAAAATAAATAATGATAACAAAAAAAATATATTATATAAAGTTAAATATATATAAAATAAAATAAATAAAACGAAATAAATAAAGTAAAATGAAATAAAAAAATATTAAAATAAAATTAAGTAAAATAAATAAAGTATAAAAAAGTAAAAAAAAGAATTAAATAGCTAAACTAACCTTAACTAAGAGTAAAATAAGTAATATAAAATAAAATTGAATAAAATAAATAATAATAAAATACTGGAAATACTTTTCATAATTTTTAGTGATAATGTGATAAGCAAGTCATGAAATTAAACTAAATAAAATTAAATAAATTAAAATAAAAAAAAATAAAAAAAATAAAATATAATAAAATAAAAAAAAAAAAAATAATAAAAAAATAAATAAAATAAAAAATAAAATAAAATAAAATAAAATAAAATAAAATAAAATAAAATAAAATAAAATAAAATAAAATAAAATAAAATAAAATAAAATAAAATAAAATATTGGAGATAAAATGTAAATAAAATAAAAAAATAAAATGAAGTAAAATGAATAAAATTTTTTATTTTATAGAAAAGTTACGACTATTCGAAATTGATTTTTTTCAAACAAACTTTGAAACTGTTGTTGCTGTTGTCATCAGCTACAAGGAAAACAATTTAGTGTGATGAAGTGATTTGAATGAAATTAAATTTTAATGGCCAAAATTAATTCTGTTTTACTAATTATGATGCAATCGAATATTGAAATTGCAAAAGAAAAATTTTAAAGAACATAAATGTTAAGAAATTAAATATTTTTTGTTGTAGCAAGTCGCTAAATCCCATTTATGGTGCTAGTGAAACTAACTCGTCTTTTATTTAAGGAACAAAATATAATTAATAATAAAAATATTATTTTATATGCGGTGCGGGCTATACTAAACCATTGTAAAGATCATCTAAAGAGGGGTTAAGCATAAATAGGTTGTTTCGATAGATTCCGAACAGAGTAAGAGTGCTGTTAGATGAGTTGGTTTTATCTCGGCCGAGGATGATCCATGAGCTTGAGATGGACTACTTTTGTTTCTTAATCCTAACTCTAAACTGCGCTGCTGTGAAATTGTTTAAAAAGATATTTTGAAATTATTATGGACTCTTAAATGAATTTAGGCTGTCGAGGGTTGAAACATATGTACATACATACTGTCTAAACGACGAAAAAACTTGAAATGAAAGGAATTATCAATCAACCTTTACCTAATTAGAGGCCACAATAAAAGCGAAAGAAACTATAAAAAATTTCAATTAAAAATAATTTATTATTTTTGTGACATTTTCGTAAATAATCTTTAAAAAAAATTGATTTATTATGTGCATACATATACATATATACATGCTTGACGTAATACAAATAAATAAATACATATATTTATGTGTACGAGAGATCATGGTCCATCTCGTTTAAATTCTTTATTCTCGTATAACGAAATGCGAAAAAGAAGAGTTTTTTTTTTTTTAAATTATTTAAGAAAATAAATAAACTTAAGGCGACTTGAGTTATGAGGGTCGCTTTTAAAATTGTCAAAAGTTGGAAAAGTTCTCTTTTTTCTTCTTTATTTACCCTTAGATATACGAAATTATCTACGACCGCGAAGTTATGACTGTCAACAGTGACGTGGGAGCCGAGTCGCGAATACGATGACCGTTTGTTTGATGACAGGGGATATTTCGTTTTGCCCTCTTTCATGGTCAAACCACCTACGTTTTACTTTTTTTTGTGGCCTGGAGAAAGCAGAACTAACGGCGCGTTTATCCGTATTACGATATCCATATTATCGGCATACGCCAGCAGCTGTACACTCTTATAGAAGATTGTACCTTCTCTATTCAGCTCTGCAGCTCGTATTATTTTCACCAGCTTCAAATTGAAAAAATCACACTATTAAAAGTCCCCCTGTCTGAACCCTCGTTTGGTACCAAACGGCACGCAGGCGTCCTTCCCAATTCTGACTGCCCTGCCGCTGTTGTCCAGCTTCAATTTTCACAGCCGTAAAAGTTTTGCGAGGATACCGGATTCAGACGTAAAAAAATGGAAGAAAGGAGAAGTTCTGTTGCTATAATAAAAAACCGTTCATTTTATTTTTGCTATAAATTCTGCACCCTTTTAGTTCTCTTCTACAAAGTAACTATTTCCCTATTGAGCATTTAATCATAGTAAAACACTAAAAATCTTTATAGCTTGGCTGATCTAAGTATAATCCAGAAGCCAATAGTAAACATCTTTGCCATTATAATCACAATGACTAGATAATTATAGAAACTCAGTTCGTTATGGTTGCGTAGTTGCGCCTACATTAGCTAGCCTTCCAATGTTCGATTGCCATGCACGTGAATGTGTAGGTTGCGATGCGAATAAAAGTGTGTGTTTCACGTGATTACGACACAGCGCAACTAAAGCTCTCTGAAACCGCAGGCGATTATGCGAGATTATAAATAAAATGTGTGTTTTTAAGTATGCGAATTTGTATTCATACGAGGATAGGTTGAAAAGTTGGAGGGATAGCAGCCGGTCATGAACTTCGAATGATACTAGAAGGAGAAGGGATGGATCTATGATAATCTATATCGTTATGATCAGAAGGACGAACTGAGTTTATTTAGGGTTTTTTACTGCTTTTGTCGAAACCGTCCGCATCGCTCAACTATATCATATAGCCCCGTTCAAACAATTTATTTTTATATGGGAGTTTTGAGCAAAAAGTGCTAGAATCCACAAGCCATTATTTAGATGCCTCTACATACTCAAATGGTCGCTGTTTAGTGTACTCTCTGGGCATATGTAATCCTTGGTCCATTTCATGTTCTTCAAAAATGAAGTCGTTAATAGTGTTACAGCCAATAAAGAAGGCTATAGATTGATATGGACGACGTTTGGCACTATATGCCATACATATAACGAAACAATCAATTTATTGAAGCAAACTTTTGGTGAGCGCATTATTTTGGGTCGTGAGCTTGTGCTGTGATGTTCAAGATCGTTCGATTGCACACCGCTAGACTGAATTTTTGTGGGTTTATATGAAGGCGCAGATAAGCCCGAGACGATTGACGCTTTGGTTGAGAGTTTTCGGCGCCTTATTGCTGGCACACGACATCCCAATAGTTACGAAAAGTCGTAGAACACTGGGGCTTTCGGCTGGTATTTGTTCAAGTCAGCTGTAGTGATTGTTTATCCGAAATCATTTTTAAAACAAACCTTTGAAAATCACATGTCAGAGAAAAAAACCTTACTTTTTTGGCTCTTATTTCACTGGAAATTTCGCTCAACCTTCTGTATTTTTTAATTTAAAAGCAAATACAAATCTCTGAGGGACAGATTTGGATCATAGGTTAGTTGAAACCATGAGTCGAATGCTTTGTCTAGCAGCTTAACTCCCCTCACGATAGCCTAATTTTTAAATTCTCCTCACGATGGCCGACCATTGATTCCATTTTCGACTCGAATTCAAAGGGTGAAAGTAATTTTTTCCGCCATTGACAACTCCCTTCAAGACAATTGTAGTTTAATTTCCTCATCACTTAAAAGAGTTCTTTACATAGTTCCACAAAAATGCTTCTTCTGAGAAAGTGTAATTAGTTTAGGGGGCCACTTCTACCTGACTTTTATTATAACCTCGTAAATTGATGAGTATCTAATACTTCAACTAATGTCGATAACTTATTTCCCTTCCTTTGGTAAACTCCACTAAAGAGTTTACAAATTTTTTCAAAACGTC